CTGAAGACAAGCAAGTTTGCAACACTTTTGTTCACATCAAGGAAGACCGTGCTTTATAGAAAGTCTCTCCAAAATGAACAGAACAACCTCCAAAGTGACAAAGCATGTATAAAATAAAATCTTGATCTGCACATTACACCAGGAAAAGGAATCAACACTAGGATGTCCTACAAGCATCTGGGATGCTGTCATTAATACTACTAGCCTACCTTCAGCTTGCTGTCAGTTTGTAGAGCTGCTGCTATGTCTGCCCAGTTTGTTCCAAATGTCAAGCTTGTTTGCTCTCTCATGCATGCTCTCACTCTTTCTGTGTTCCCTCTGCTTTTTAAAGACAACCTAGTGCTGTTTATCTCACTTATCCCTGTCCCTCTGAGCTGCCAGTATGACCCTGGTGCTAACCACAGGTTACTTGAACTAAACACAATACAGAACTCTCAAATCCAGGTGGCACCTGGCAATTTATGAGGCTTAACCACAAAATTCACATAAACAAGGTCGTCTTGTGTGAGACTCCTGAGCTCTGAGATAAGTATGCAGACTCTCTCTGAGGAGCACCTGCACTGTTTTTTAACACAAAGATTTGCATTTGGCTTTCTTCTTTATAGTTTCATAGCTGATTTCTTCACTGTTAACTCTTAGAGAGCAGAACCTAGTCTCTGGCCACACTGGCATTGCACATCAAAGCTATTTCATTGAAGATCAATGTCCCACTTCCTCAGGTCAACAGCAGCCAAGCCAAGGGTGAATTGACAACAGGGATCACAAAATGTGTTTCTTCTGATACCAGTATTTAATTTTCATGGATATTGCCTCTTTGGTGGTGTATGTCTGGGGCCTTGAAGGCCCTGGGCAGGGAGGACAAATCAATAATATGGAAGTTAGCCATATACATATTGAGTAACTGTTAGATACTTAACCAGGTATAGGCCATACATGGCTACAAACAGTGGCCAGTAGAGTGTCTTTCCTGGAGAAGCCCAAGAAGACTCAGGCTTAGTTTCTACAGAGCAACCGTCTTAAAAACTGACTCAAAGTGGAAAGAAACCAGATTTTTTCATACAACAGCACCCTGAAAGTTTTCAGTCTCCACACATAAAATTGTGTGAAAATTCTAGTGATCCATCAAGTCCTTTCAAATGTGAACATAAGTTCACACTCCAGAAGTAGGAATTTGCAATAGTTGCATAACTACATAAACACCCAAGCATTTTTCTTTCTCGGGAGACTCTGTGATCCTGCAGGACTCAAATCCATTTTTGACTTGCACTCTCTTCCCTGAGAAGTTGACTGAGGCAGGCCATTGGGCTTTGATTGCGGGTCAGGATCTCCCAGTTAGCGTGCCTCCTACCCAAAAGCATCTGATGTCAGCCAGAAGAAAAATCAGCAAAAGTTGTACTATTTGACATTTGCTATATCTAAAAGAGATGAGAGGATTCCCACTCTATTATCCACTCTGATGTTACAATGCTTTCAATTTTTAGAATCATAGAATCTTTTAGGTTGGAAAAGACCCTTAAGATCATCAAGTTCAACTGCAAACCTAACACTACCAAGTCCACCACTAAATCATGTCCCTAAGTGCCATGTCAACACGTCTTTTAAATACCCACAGCTATGATGACTCAACCACTTCCCTGGGCAGCCTGTTCCAACACTTGTTCAGCCCTTTTCATGAAGAAATTTTTCCTAATATCCAATCTAAACCTCCCCTGGTGCAACTTGAGGTGAGGCCATTTCCTCTGTAGAGCAATCCCCACCTTGGTACAACCTCCTTGAAAGGAAGATATTTGTAGAGAGCAGTAAGGTCTCCCTTGAGCTTCCTTTTCTCCAGGCTAAAAAAACCCAGCTCTCTCAGCTGCTCCTCACAGAATTGTGCTCCAGACCCTTCGCCAGCTCAATTGCCCTTCTCTGGACACGCTCCAGCACCTCAGCATCTTTGTTGCAGTGAGGGGCCCGAAACTGAACACAGGCTTGAGGTGAGATCTCCCAAGTGCTGACTACAGAGGGGCAATCACTGCCCTGGCCCTGCCGGCCACACAATTTCTCATACAAGCCAGGGTGCCATTGGCCTTCTTGGCCTCCTGGGCACACTGCTGGCTCATGTTCAGCTGGCTGTCGAGCACCTCCGGGTTCTTTTCCACCACGTAGCTTTCTAGACACTCTTCTCCAAGCCGTTCTCTGCGCTGGTTAGTGTCACAGGAATACTGTCGAGAGGCACTCTGGGAAATGTAGTTCCTGATGCTCTATTGCACATGCTCCTTGGATGTGATTGGCTAAGGTTGGTTTATTACTTTTTGAACTGCCCATATAAGATGCTGTTGTTCTCAATAAAGTTGGTTCAGGCACTTGGAACCCCAAGCGTCGGGGTCCGTGCCCATAATGCCGTCAATTCCCATAAAATGATGTCTTGGAGAAGTGGTTAGTCCTGAGTGTTTGTGCCACATGGGAGACCAACAGTTCCTACTAACTAGTGTAATGATTCATGCCAGAGCAAGTAATGTATTGAGAAAAAAATAGTGTATGGAATATGCAATGCATGGAGAAAGTAAAAAAAGTTCAGGTATCAAACCCTCATATCCTTGCTTAGACTCTGATACACACAAAACCCTAATGTGAAATAAATCCCAACCAGAACTATCTGAATGGGATTGTCCAGGATAAGGTGGAAAAGAAGTCATACATGTCATTCCAGGCCAAGGCAGAATGGGAGAAGGATGTAATGTGTGAGGCATTTATATACCTCTGAGAATATTAGCTGGCTAGGGCCTGAGCTTAGCTCTTCAGTTGTTTTGCCTGGACTTCCTATCAACCTGCCTATTTTTACTATTCACTCCCTAGCATTTGGAGAGACCTTTTCAAAAAATTATCAGATCGGACTGCAATACCAGATATCAATCAAAATCACTCTCTGCAGTCACATACTGAATTCCTCTCTTATCTTGAAATGGCAGGCACCACTCCCTGACAATAGGCATTGTTAATACTAAGGAATTTCAGGGCTCTTTGAGAAGTTTAGCAAATCTCGCCCTCTGGGGTGCTTATTCAGAACTCCACCCAGGTAGCTGGCTACCTGTACCATTCCCCCAGGAGTTTGAATTCGCATGCAAAACTGCACTGTACAGGCATCACCTTCTTTATCAAAGGAACCACATGAGCATTCATAAGCTTAACCAAGTGCTTTACTTTCAAGTACCCAAGAATTCGCCTTGAAAAAATATTGTCTTGTAGGGATACAGCAGGCAACTAAAGATTTTAATTTATCTCAAATTGCTACAGCTTTGGATGTGGTTTATGTCCATATGAGCGCAATTGCTCATACAATTTCAGCTGCACAGATCCAGTGCTGGAAAATGTTTTTCCTGTGCCACTGGCACCACCGAGTGGAGAAAAGCATTTTTGCATTGCTTTCGCTTACAGCATGGGCATTAATATATGACCAGGGGCCTAAGCCATACAGATTTGGAAATTTCTCAATAAAAGCATTTCATTTAAACTTGGAATAAAAACTCCAGATAAGTTCCTTGAATTCTCAATTAAAATAGGCTGGACAGCAGTGCTCTGGGCACCTTGCCAATTAGTAGTATTTTTTTAGTCATGGAAAACCCTCCATCTAAGGATATTTGTTTTACAAAGCTCCTCGTTTTACAGCTAATGAAAGTAGCATACAGTTTGATCACTCGGCAGGAGAAAAAGGATAGCTCTGAAATTCAGCTAGTTGTCCAGGAGAGGGTCCACAAAGTATTTATTGGTTTATTTACTCTTAATATCATTCCTTCTTTATTGTGATATTTTGGAGCCCTATGTAATGGCCCAGATATCTCTCTCCGCCCTTACTCTTAACTTCCTGGCAGATCCTAACAAGAAACGTAAATGTGTTTTGGACACAAACAGTGCTCGGAGGGGTGCGTTAGCGTCTGGGATGCGCCTTGGCTCCAGCAGCACCCTGCAGTCTGAGAGCTCAGCACTCGGAGGGAGACAGGCACTGTAGCGATGGCACCGGCCACTGATTTCCAGCTCCCAAGGACCGTGGCGTGTGGACAGAGACACTGAAAACCACTGAAAAAAGTGGTTTCACAATCCCTCCATCCCCAGCTTATATCCTCCTAAACGCTGGGAACAGTAGTTGTTTTTTTGGATTTAAATGTGTGTTAATATGAGATTCTTGCCAAGAAAACTCTCCGATGCAAACAATCGAATTCCCCTCGTTCGTTTCTAAGGAAATGAAGATGTCTGTGTGTTCACACTGTGCCGGTATTTCACTTACTTAAAACTGGCCGCTGTCCAAACCCCCGGGAGAGGTTCCCCCCAGCGCTCGCCCCGAGGGAGGAGCGCACCCGGCCTCAGTGCCTGCAGGGGTTCCCAAGGGCCAGCTGAGGTTGAGAGAGGAAATTATTTCTGATAAGAATTTGTTTAACACAGAGAAACGGCTTTTTTGCGTATCCCGAGCCCTTTACGCACACATCACCCCCACCCTCTCCAGCTTTCAGGGCCTCGTTTTTAACAGCGTTCACAACGGAGCCCAGAAAAGCATCGTGACGGCTGTTCACAGAAGCCTCAGCAGCGGAGTAAAGGCCGGCAGAGAATAAAGATTCGATGCTCACACAAACACCGCTGGTGACGGTTTTATTTCTTTTTAAGGGTCGGGATGACGGCGGCACCGCCCTCCCGCCGCCCTGGCGAGGCGGCCCCGCCCCCGCGTCGCTGCCCCTCCGCGGCGGCAGGAGGCGCTGCAGCGGCCGTGGCGCCTCGGGCGGCCCCGCTCGCTTCCAGCCGCCGCTCCGACGCCTCCCGAGGAGAAGCGGAAGCGGCGGCGGGCGGGGATCGGCCGCGGGTCGGGGTGAGTCCGGGCGGGCCGCGGGGGGCGGCCGGGAGGGCGGGGGCTGCGGCGGGCCCGGCCGGCTGTACGTGGAAGCGAGGGCCCGGCCGGTCGCTGGGAGCGGGAGTCCGGCCGGCGCGGGCTTGTGGCGGCGTCCGGCACGGAGCGTTTCCCTCGCCGGGCCGGGGCTGCCGGCTCGGGAGCGGAGCCCGCGCCTGCCCAGCCCCGCGGAGCTCTGCGGCCCCTTCCCCGAGAGCGGGCTCGGGGCTCGGAGCAGGGCCGGGGGTGCCCTGCGCTAGGGCAGGGCGGTGATGGGGCTGAGGCGCCGGCCTGCGCTGCTCCGGAATTGAAACTGTGCCGCGATCTGAGGCCAGGCAGCGCGGGCTCCGAGATACGCTGGTTTACCTGGCTGGGAGCCTGGCTGAAATGACCTTGTGTTGCCTCTTAGCTCCCCATCGCACTGCGGTGGGAGCGTGAGCAGCCCGTGGCTCTCGAGTTGTGGTCCCGCTTGTCTCGAGCACATCAGCTTAACGTGGGCTCTGTTTTTCCCAAGTGAAGTGAAGACACAAAGTAAATTCTTCGGTAACACGTTAAAGGATAATTATCGGGATAGGTTACTATTTCTAAAACCGACAGCTCTGTTTTCTACTAGAGACTGGCAGTATTTTATATTTAACGATAATTAACACGAGTAATAAATTATGACTTCAGTAGTACTTTCCATCAATTTCGTCTGGTTTAGGTAGGTCATGCTGAGTCTTTTTGTACTTAAACGGAAATCTCAGTGTAGGTGGGAGGAAAATGTTCTAATTATATCCCTTATACCTAGTAGTTAAAGCTTGCCGAAAATATTTCTCCGTGTTTGCCTCTGACAAGTTCTGCATGCTGCAGAACTATGAGCTGTGTGGTTTTTGTGTCTTAGATACCATTGACTGAGTGATAAATACAGGGTTGATTTGAAGTTTCGGTGAGGGACAGGTAGAAAAAGGAATGGGGGAACATCTCCCATGCATTTTATGCTGTGTTCACCAACTGTGTTAACACTTGCAAGCAAACTGTTTTGCCTTCCCATTGTGTGAAAAGGCCATAGAACTAGTCCTTATAGTAAAAGAGGAAAAAAAAGATCATGCTGATAAAACAAGTTGTATTAGTTTTTGTATTATTTTGTAGATATTGCTTTGGGTATAATTCTTCTGCATATTCCACATTACCTTCAGCTTTTCCCAGCAGGTGAAGATTTGTGAAGCTCAGTCAGACTCCATTGAATGGCAACCTGTCAAGACAGAAATAGCTTTTTTAGATTAGTAAGCAAATACAAAAAGGTTTTAGATCCAGTCTGTGAAAACTGGTGATAAAAGATTCTGGGTATAAAGCATGTCAAAAAGACAATGAAAGTAAATATAAGGTGGACTGAAAAGGAGAAATGTTTTAATTGTTTCAGAATGTCTGCTTAATTCACTGTTTGTTTTACCAGTCTCAGATTGTTTTACTAATGCCAGATACAAGGTTGTAGAGGTAGATGGCAATTAAATCTAGCCCTGAGCATGAATGACATTTGTTCATAGCCATGCTTCTCCCTGCCTCTTGAAGTGCTTTCTGCCCTGGTATTTACTTTGTCCCCATTAGGCAGCACCTTAAAGTCTCTTCAGATCTTTTGAGGGATATAGAAAGGCACAGTGCATATCTCAGTGTGTTCTTGGTGTAGGGAGAGCAAAGGGAGAACAGAGGCCAAAGAGCAGAGTCACTGCCAAAGTAAAGAATTAAATAGTATTGTTCTTCTCACTAACAATGCTTTCCTTATATTGTTATTCTCAACAATTCTCAATGGATTGTATCTAGACGTTAATAAACCGAAGAAAAGTTTGGGGGATTTTGGTTTGGGTTTCTTTTTTGGTTATGGGAAAACCCATGGAATATTTTGGTGTTAAATACAGTATAGTACGCTTCCACTGCTCACTAAAATTAAATTTGTTTTTACATACCTAAGTAGCTGAATGTAACTGTGAGTGTGCCACCATCTACTTTCCTAAGTAACATTCAAGCATGAAAATACGTATGTGATTAGAGCCTGACAGCATTCTCTCCAAATAAAAAGAAATCACCTGGAAAATTTCAAAACTCCCAAGAGCTGCTCTGCTTCAGCATCAGGAGCTCTTGATAGTGTCTAATGAGCTCTGAATGTTGTTCAATTCTATTTGCCTCAAACAAAAATTCTTCTGTGAAGTCTTCATGTTCACATGTTAGAATGGTAAATATAGTGGTTATCCAAAAGACTTGGAAGTCTTAGCAGGTACTGCTATTAGAAAAAAAAAAAATTGCTACCTCAACAAAATATTTGCAGCATGCTTGCAGACTTTTATAAGAAATCAGAATTTGTTTTTTGCAGTTACAAGTTCTACCCAAATCTCTTATTGCTTTGGCTTGTCTAGACATTTGATAGCTTTTAAATGAAAGTGTTTTATGGTATTAATTAAAAGGAATTTGCATAATTTCATATGTTCTGCCTGGATGAGGCCACAGTGATGATAGTTACAAACTTCATAATGGAAACATATGGTGCTTATCAGTTGTCAGTAGACCATTAATTATTATGCCTGGGAATAAGTGTTGCAAGTATTGCTCCATAAAATTATCCAAAGTCACTCCACTGGTCCGTCAATCTCATGACCCAGAAATCTATACATAAAAAACTGTTCTCAGTGAGAGAGAAGAAGAAAAGAGAGGAGTTTGACCAGTTTTTCTGTCGATGTGGTGCTCAAGGCATTTCCCCTGCTGGATGTCTGCTGGCCAGGCTGCAAGCAAATTAATTATGTTTGTGAACTTCAAGTAAGAAAAAGGATTTGGAGTAGTCCTCTGTATTGATTTCCTTATTTATATGGCTAATCAGTGTGAATTTTCTAGGAAAGGGCATGTGGAAATTAATTGTATTCAGCACTTAATGATTAATATTAAAAGTTTTTTATCTTATGGAAAGTGATACTTTCTCTGTACAGTATTCCTTCACCTTTGCCAAATGCTCAAAGGTATTGTTTCATATTTCAGTATAAATAGGATAAAATGCCTAATTTTATTTCCTCCTTATTACTCTAATGATAATGTGATTTTCCAGGCAGTTTGAAGATATCTTCTGATACCAGCAATTTTTTCATTTAGAGGAATTTCTGAATTAATCCCGTGGCTCTCTGGAGCATGAAAATCTGTAAAAGTTCTACCTAAGTACCATATACTATGGGACTTGACAAATCAGAGTACACAGTTTTGTTGCATGCGTTAATTTAAAATATGGGCAGTTTAAATTCTGTTGTGAAATCATTGTTTTGTCAGTCATAAGGTACATTATTCTTGCAGGAGTTTGCTCTTCTGGTTTGAGTGTGCTAGCTCACATCAGCCTAATCACTTTGTAATGCAGCAGTGTAAATAGCAACATAGCACAGGTTATTTAGTGAAGACAGGGTTCATTATGGTTTGAAGTTGGAAGAGTAGTATGGGGACTCCCTGTAGTCTTAACTGTCTTTTCTGGGGCATGACAGCTTGATCTTTAGGGCATTCCCACGTTTCTGCAGCAGAGGTAATGATCAGACAAGTTCTGACCATAACCATTTGGCCTGGAAAGCGCCTCCCTTTCTATTGTCAAACAATACAGCTGTTGCCTTGGAGAGCGAAATCAGCCTTTGCTAGCCCAAGGACTGGGTACCTCCCGTGCAAGCTAAAGCCCATTATCTCTCTACCCATCAGGTGTGATAGGACTTCCTAGCTTTAGAAGAGGGTACTTGAGGCACATTACCAAACACAGTTTAAGGCTTTCTCTGCCTGAGAAACTTCACTCTAGCAAAAACAAGAATTACTATATAATGATCTAGTTTAATTTCCTTTTTCCTGGATCTGAAAGCTGGCTGCTGGGCAAACAAAAAAGGTTTAGAGAGTAGTCTAGCAAAGTGTTTAATGTATTAAACATTAAAACAAAGGATTAGTTGTAAAGGCTGTGGTATACACAAGGTGTAAGTTAATACCTGGATATTGTTGTACTTGCATTTGACTCAGTTCTGTTTGGCACAGAGGAAGAATACCAACTATTATCAATAGGAAGAAAAACTGATGTGGGTTTTGGGAGATGTTAGTATAGTTTTGGGATATATATTAGTTTGAATTTTAAAATCCATCCTCTTCCAGCCAAAGCTTCCCAAGGGAAGAACATAACAAACTGCTTCAGTAGGCTCACAAACTGTCTGCTCCACCTTCATTGGGGAAAAGACCTGTCATTAAACATTCAAAGTATACTTTTCTGTAGTCAGTTTTGCACTAGCACTGCTCTGTTCAAGATTGAATCTGTGTTCCTGCTCTTGGAGGGTAAAGTAACTGCCACAAGAAACAGAACTAATTCCTAGTATAGTAGTTAGAACTCACAGAGGAATTGTTTTAAACTATGCTGGAGTAATCAGACCTCGGTTAGTGGTCGGAGCAACAGCAGTATGCATTTTTATTTGAAAAATTGTGCCTTGCCCCACACCTATAAATATGTGTGGAGGAAAGACTTCCTTCACAGATAAGATGAAATGGGTAAGGGTAGGAGGAGGAATCCTGTCTTAGAGAAAACATGAACAAAGTTTAAAATCTGGCTTTTAAATCACCTTGTTTAAGTTGCCTCTTTGTGCCTGAATTTCCCAATTTAAAAAGAGCCAATGATATTTGCACTTCTTTTTTTATGAACCACTCGGTCATGTGCTGACAAAAAGCTTTATGTAGAAGTGGAGTATATCACTGAATAAGGGGATTTTTGTGTGCGTCTGGGATGTTGACTGGTTGCAGTGACTCATTCATTAAAATGACTCTGGTATAGGAGTTTTCTTTCTGTAAACTGAATGGACTTACTGCTGTTTCTGTAGAAACAATATAAAGGGGTAAAGAGTTCAGCTAGTGTTCAAAAAGTTCAAAAAGCATTCAGCTAGTGAGATTATACCGACTCAGATCCTGTTTTCTTCCTTATAAGAGCAATATTTGAAATAGTATGGGTTTTTCTTAGTAACAGCCCAAGAGAAGAGTCACACACTTCTTTTCAATTAATGTGAGAACTGAATTTGGGTAAAGTTATTATATTTTTCTCCCTGCGACTTCCTGAATTCCTTTGTGAGATCACTAAAGGGATATATGTTCCTCTTCCCTTTCTTAGTCTCAGTAAATATACCCTTGTGGCTTAGATTTATGTGAATTTTTCAGTCCTAGGCTGGCCAGTAGATTCTAATATGCTGCATACCAACATTCCCACTCCATTGGCCCAGTTTAGTTCCTGTGATTTTTCATATGTGGACTAAACATCCTCTGCAGCAGTTGTTAAATAAGTTATATTAGTTTAACAATGGAATCAAGTTGGGTTTTTTCCTCCAGAAAGATCTACTCTAAAGATGGCACTCTAAAAAAAAAATCTCTGTTACAAGGCATCTTTATAAACATTGATTCTTCTGCTTCCATTCTAAGTTATTGGGAGAGTTGCTCCCTTCATGGGATTAAATTGATCATGGCCTGGCTGAAGCTGCTGGTGAGAATGTACTTGGTGTTTAGTGTGTGTTGCTGTTGTGCTTAGGAGCCTTGATTAATAAAGCCTGTTGTGGGTAGATAATGTATAGGGATAATACACTGGGGTGCAGAGCAGCAGAAGTGAACATCTCTCCTTGAGTGCAGTTCCAGGCAGCTCTGCTGTAGAGTTATTTCTGCATAAAGTGAGCATTGCTGACCTGTACACTACAAGTCAAAGCTGTCAAACTGCGCTTTGAGGCTCTGTACCTTAATGGTATTTTGGAAATGTCAAGAACACTGATCTTCAAGTACTTCTCATACCTCTACATATCTCAACAATATGGAAAGTTACATATTTACAGAACAAAATAAAATTCTGTTTTGATTCTGACTGTAGCTGACCTAAATATGGTAACTTTGCCTGTTTGGTTTTGTTCAGTAGATCTACCTTTTTTTTTTTTTTTAAAATCTGGATAGCTGGGGAAAAAAAGCTCATGCAGTATTAGCATGGACAGTATTGCCAACTGTTTATCATGTAGATGGCCTAAAGCGCATTTCTGTGATGTTGCATGTGTTCAAAATACACTCCCAGTAAATGGTAGTTGAGACCTTGTGTGATTAGTAATTCTATTGATGTAATCTTCAGGTGTCATATAATAAATACCCAAGTAAAACTACCTGTCTGTCCTCCTCCTATCCATGAACATTTTGTAAAAATGAATTGTGATATTCAAATTCTGATAAAGGCAGGAAAATTTTTACTTTTGTGAGCTTGTGCTCAAGGTAGCCCTGTTCATTCTGCTGACCCCACCGTCTGCAGTTGTGATGCAGATGAACAATCCTTATACTTTAGCTCTTGATTACATTTGCATCCCTAATATATTTTAAATGATGCAATGGTATTACAGCGAACTCAGTAAGTGAACATTACAAAAGACTTTGCCTGTACTGCTGTGCAAAAGACAGTCAAATCTGAGGTTAGTGGACTTGTTTTGCATGCCTGGCTCCATAACCCTCAGATTACTCATACTGCCTTGCAACTGGTGGTAATCTCTGTTTTTCAAAGAAATTTCATTTATAGAACACTAACCACAGTAGGATTCTGAGAAAATGGTTATGACCATTACAAAATCAAGGCAGAGGAAAATTTCTTGGACATCTAGAACTTATATTTGTTTAGATCTTTTTTTTAAAGCTCCTTCCTTCAGTGTAGAAACACTGGCCATCTGTTTGGGGATACCTATGAGTTCAACCTGATTGATGAGCAGTGTTTTAAAAGCAGGCTTTAGTATGCCATTCACTGCTCTTTAGGGAAAGGTGACTTGTATCTTCTGTTCTTACAATCATGTCCGTTGTCCTCCCTGCCAGCTAGACTAGAAGAGGCAAAGGAGAGCAAGAACTCTGTTTGAGTGCTAGTAATTTATGGATAGCTTTTGAGCTGTGGAATTATTATCCTTATCTCATGTGTAGCTTATTACCCCATTGAAAGTTCTATTGGCAGTTCTAAAATGTTATCAGCAGTGCTGTATATTTGAATTTCATTGCAGCAGAGGATCTGCTTGGTTTGGGTACTTGGACTTGTATTTTATTTGTGGACCTGCACCTAAATTGATTTGAAACCTATACTCTGAATTTCTCTAGACAGAAAAGGTTAAATAACATATATATACTGCAAGGAAAATATGGAATTGAGCTGTTGTCGCCCAATAAAACATGATTCTGTACAGCATTTTTTCATGCAAAGTCTATTTGAATGCCTTTGAAGTAAATAATGTGGAAGGGGTAAAGAGATGCTTTCAGTAGACATAGCAAGGACAAAGAGTATTCCTCTTTTTACAGAAATCAGGTAGTTAGATGAAAGAGATTACAGGAAGGGGTGTGTGTTTGTTCAAACTGTACTGACTGGATGCAGTGTTCTTACCTATATATCACAAGATAAATTAGAAAGATAACAGAAACTGGGAGAAAACTAAACCAGTGATTTCGAGTAGAACCAAATCTGTAACTGTTCCAATGTTTCTGGTCAGAAATAAATTTTACTCTTGACTTGAAAGGAAGGTATTTGAATATTTTAAATTAATACATCTTTTTGTCGTCTTGCAGTGCATTTCTGTGTAGCACTTGATTAGCTACTATGAGCTTGCTACACAGTGATAGCAGCTGTGGAGCCCGAGACGTGGAAAGCGGCTGCTGTGCAGCCATGGCCAGTGCCTGCAGCGCGGGAGCCAAAGAAGACGGCACAAGTGTCAGCAGTGGGACTGGAAACCCTCCAAGTTCTTTCACAGAAGAAACACAAGGATATGATGTGGAGTTTGATCCGCCCTTGGAAAGTAAATATGAATGTCCAATCTGTTTGATGGCTCTTCGGGAGGCTGTGCAGACACCATGCGGACACCGTTTCTGCAAAGGCTGCATTGTCAAATCAATAAGGTAAAAACACATTTATGGAAGCTGCTTTTAAGAAGAAAGTCACTTACCAGAGCAGTTTAAGGTCAATGTAAACTAAATAGAACTGGCCAAGGGTGCATTACCAATGAGTGCTAATAGAACTCTGGAAATTTATGATTCATTAAAGATGCTTTCTAATAAACACTATATATGGACAAAATGTCATGAGTTTGGAGGTTTCATGAGCTTTAGATTTTGCCATTTATACAAATTTATCCAGGTTATGAATCTAAAAACTTGATTGATTAAACTTTTTCTTTTTAGTTATTATTTAAAGGAGCCAAATCCTCCAAATAAAGTCCATTTTTTGTCCAGGATTATGAAATCTGTATTTTGCCTATGATTGTTTCCTTTAATAAGTACAGGAAACTATAGACAACATGGTTTCTTGGTGCAGATAAGGCAACTCATGCTTTCAGTTCTTCACTTGAAATTAGCTGCTTTCTTGTTGAGCTGGAAGAAAGAATGTGATGAGGAAATAGTCTTGAAAAAATCATTGAGACAGGAAACCAAGTGGCATATGAAGGAGTGGGAACAAGGTACGAAGGCAAGACCAGGCTGGGCTTATAAAAATGGATGAAAGAGCAAGGAGGGCAGAGTGCACATGTCCCACATGTGTCAGTGAGTACTGGATCACATTGATAGAAGGCTAGATATTATGCTGTAGGATTTTTCCTTCTCAGCATAAGCCAGATTTTTTTCTTATCAATTGCTCACTTAGCTCAAATGTCACTTTGGTAGGAATCTATACCTTTAATTCTGTGTGAGCCGTATATATAATTGGTTCATTTCTAACCTTACTTTGCACACTTGTATAAAGATCATTAAACTATTTTCAGTGTTACCGTGTTTCTCCTTGGCATTTATTTTTAGCATGAAAAAAGGACAGTGCTTTCTTGATTGGTTTTTCATACCATTTGTCCGTAGTTCTACTCCATTTCTTTTTCTCCATTGTCCATTATTTGTAGCTCACTAAATGAATAGTATGCCAGCAGTGATGTTCTCTAAATACAGTGTTTCGTATGTTTTGTGGGCTTCTCTGTAACTTCAGCTACGTAAATTCTCAGGAAGAATTTCTTTGTGGAAAGGGTTGTTAAGCACCGGAACAGACTGCCTGGAGGGGTGGTGGAGTCACCATCTCTGGCAGTGTTCAAGAAATGACTGGACATGGCACTGAGTGCCATGATCTAGTTGATGAAGTGGTGATCAGTCAGAGATTGGACTTGGATTCTTTTTTACAGCCTAAAAAATTCTGGGATTCTGCCGCTGTTGTATCTAATGCTACTGTATTTTTTCATAGCATACCTTTTGGATCGAGGAGGGGGAAGTGTTGGAGCTGAGAATGAGAAGACAAATTTAATATGCACTCCCTACTTATGATAGCGGATTCTTTCTAGCTAGCACAGAAATTTGTGTGCATTTGCAGCACAGTTCCTGTTAACATCAGTTTCATCAATATTTCTCAGAAAAGGATCCAGAAAATGCAGAACACCACCAGTGTTCACCCATGACAAGTGACTCACCTGTGGATTCTGCAGAAGCAGCTGCACCCAACTGCATCCCTTGGTGGTATACATGTTACCCACGTGCATGGAAGAAGGCAAAAAGCCCCTGAACTTGTTAGCTTTGACTGTAATCCAATTCCTTAGGCACAAGCAGTTGGCTTCACTTTCTGGCCTTTGCTTTGCACATTCCAACCCAAATTCTTTCAAGAGGTTAATGTACATAATTTCATGAATGCTTGTAGGCATTACAAGACAGTTGTAATGGTAAAGGCCATTAAATTTTGAAATTCCTTACTTGCTCTCTGAGCTTGCTCTGTTTGTTGGCAGTAGCAGTTTTATATTCTTTAACTTGGGTATTTCTGGAAGAAAGAAAATAAATCTTTGAATCTTCTCTTGAGATTATGATGTCTATAGATTCTGAAGGTAAATCAGTACTTAAATATAGTGAGCTTTAGAAATGTCTACTCAGCAATCATTTCAAAGACAACAGAATTCCTACGTTGAAAACTGAGGGGAAAATGACTAAAAATTACCAAAAATGGGTGTCTCATTTCCAGTCTTTCAGATCTTTACAAGCTAAAGTGATCTTGTTTTCTAATCCTTATGCTTCTGCTGGCGAGCTGCACAGTTACAGTCATTGGTTAGAATTTACAGGACTGAATGAGAAACTACAGTGAACCCAAGCTCAGAACACATCATCTCCTAGCAGGAAGATAAATTTCCTTCTTAAACCCCAGGCATGGGAAGTGGTTTCTCTTCCTTTTTAAATTAACAGAGCATTTGCTCTGCTCAAAGTTTTAGATCTCCAAACAGTTTCAATGGCCAGAAGCTTTTGCTTCTTTTACACCCTTTGCTTATTTTACTTCATTTCTATAAATAGTGCTGACTGTTCCAGTGAATACTAAACACAGGTCGAAAGCATTTTTTTCCTTGGAGACTATAGATCATCACTGTAATATTTCAGTTGTTTCATTGATAGTAAAAGTTTTCCCTCATTCCCCAATGAAATATGTTTTTGGAGTGCAGTTTGAGTGAATGCTTGTGAAAGCAGAGCAGACAGCGTAAAGTGCCAGACCTCCCTGAATCCCTGAAGGGTTGAATGCATGCTTAATTGGTATCCATGGATCAAGCTATTGATTTGGATTATGTAGTGTCTGCAGAACAATATCGATTTGGAGTATGTGCTGTCCACAGTACCATATTGATTGATGTCATTGAGAAGCTTCGATGGAACAAAAATGAAAATGAAAAGTGATTTTTACATTCTCTAAGTACTGGTTTTTTTTCATTAAGTGATTGTCACAGCCTTTATTTGATCAGGAAAAAAAAATTGCTCCTGTTTATTTCTCACTTCCCCACTGTTTAGCTCAAGTGAACACAGAGATTAAGAATTTTAAATTATGAAGGATGTACAAGCATTTCTTGAGTAATCATTTCTTGTAACTTAGACAAGCAGTTATAGTTGTTCATATTGAAGTTGTGGCTGCAACTAGAAAAAAAAATTGAAAACCTTTTAAAAACTGGACTCTTAAAACTTACAGTGTGAGGGACATGATTAGACCTGATTTGATCACAGTAAATGTTTGCCTCCCAGAAAGTCTTGGCATCTTTTTAAATAAAGCTGTGTGAAATGCTTTGAAGTGCTTTAAGTCATGGTAGAGGAGAAGCTTATCTATCTAAGTAACTACCAATACTGTTTTACAAATGTTACTGTAAACAAAATACTCAATTAGAAATTTTAGAAGAACTAAGTTCAGGTGCAGTAGGTAATTAAATTTCACTCTAGTCTTTCTTCTCCTGTATCTTTTGTCAAAGCTGACTTAAGGTTTGTAGTAGAGCTTGCCAAATACCAGAACCTCTGTTTATCGGAAAAGCAGAATTGTGAGCTGACAAGGGGCAGCAGGGAAAGCTTTGGGTACTAGCAGTCTGTCAAACAGCTGGTATGGCTGCAGTTAAAGTGTATGCCAACTGTTTCAGCTTCTAGGCTAAGCCACTCAGCTGTTAAAATCATGAAGGGGGCTTTTTCTGCAAACAAAATTATTCTGGCTTTACTCTTTATACCTGCATTTTAATTTCAGTGAAAATTATAGGAATATTCATTGTACTTTGTAGCAGATGGTTGTTGTTTTACAGGTACTGTTGTGGGTGGCAGAGTCCTATGTGATAAATAATTCTAGCACAGGAAATCCTTCACTGTAATGTAATTTAGAACTGAGGTGCATAAACTCAGTTTTGTGATAGGAAATGTATGGCAATGTCTTTGTCTGCCGGTGCATCAAAGCAGCATTTTAAGCACAATCCTCATACTTATAAATAATATTTGAAGCCTGTTTAATATACTACAGTCAGTTATTGCTCTTTGTTTACTATACTTTCCTACATTGGAAAATTGCCATGCATTCTTATTTTACCCTTTTTCTGCTATTATTTAAACTGGAGAACTGGTAATCATTATTTCACATTATTCTGTTGTTGGCTGTTATACATGATTAGCTTTTCTGTGTAGAAATAAAGCTGCTGTCTTATCAGCAGACTTACTGGGTGATCTTTGTACTCTACTAAACAGGGTGTTTGTAACCAAGTTATACCTGTGAAAACTGATTTCCTGTAGGTTGCGAAGTGAGAGAACATTTCTGGGTTGTGCGAAGATCAGCACACTGATCATAGCTCAGGGAGCTCTGAAACAAAATGGCAAGCTGGGTATTTTCTTCCACTTGTTTGGGAGTATGACTACCAGGCATGTGGTGAGCTAGCTCTTACAAGTAAAACCTGTGAAAGGAAGTTCATTGCCTCTTTTTGAGGTCTCAGCTTTACCTCCACTTCCTCTAGCGCATTGCTAGTCGAGTTGCTGAGCAGTTATTTCCTTTTCCAACAAAGAACATAAATTCCCTCCTGGTCTCCACAGCCCTCTAGGTTCTCCTTCCCCTCATGCGTGCAAGCAGTGACAACGATCTGGCCTTTGATCCTTGCACCACAAGTGGTCTCTGACATTTTTCTGCCTCATGTATTTTTCCATTTTATTGCTGTTTCCATTAGCATTTCAGCTCAGAGCTTTGATCCCTCATGCCTTTTTAACTGCCTTACTTAATTGTGAATCAATATGTTGGCCTTCTGCTTTCAGAATGAGCTGATACTGAAAAATTCGATGGAGGCGATCCCTTTTTTTAGTCTGTTTCTAATTATTTTTGTGTTTAAATGCAGATAGACAGAACCTGATGAACTGGAACTTTAGTTACCTTGTGCAAGTTGCATGCATCCGTGTTCCACCATCCCGTTCCAAACTTTTGCCAGTTAGCACTTCCAGTCTGTTTGCTGTTAAAATGGCTTCAGATGCAACACTCAGTTCCAAAGCCAGTGTAATTTTCATAGTTACTAGTAATTTTCATGTCTGGAATTTTTTCACTCTTATTTGCTGTATAAATAAATAAATTGAAGGATAACCAACTGTTCAAATGGTTGTACAACAAAACCAGCAAAATGAGCTATATGAGAAATAATGACAAATAGATGAAGTAAATCTGGAAGAAAAGAAAATTTTACTTTTTCTCTCAGCTATGGTCACCTTGGATGTTTATAAAGTGTGAACGCAATTAGAGAAAGTCCAAGAATGTTCAAAGAATTGTTTTGAAATAGCATGTGAAACATACTTTGATGTTTGAGCTATGTGAAGTATTCACACAAACAGGACTGTAAGTTCTTAGTTTTTTTTTATGTCCTCCTCAAGTTTGTTTCCAGAGTACCTAACATGGCATTTGTACAAAAAAAACATACTGAGTTAGAAAAGGGCTGCAACCCCAGTCATGTCACCTCTAGTGAAACTGTGTATTGTCAAATTTTCTAGCGTACGTTGCGTACTTTCTGGTGATTACCACATAAATGCCATTGTTTTCAAAGACTTTCTTACTGTGTTATAACTTGGCCACTAATATCTTACTAGTGTAAAAATATTTTAAAATAAAGGCTTGGAAATCTCTTGGAAATATTAGAATATCTTTTTCCTTGCTTTTCTGCATTATAGAGATGCAGGTCACAAATGTCCAGTAGACAACGAAATTCTGCTTGAAAATCAGCTTTTTCCTGACAACTTTGCTAAACGGGAGATCCTTTCGTTAATGGTGAAGTGTCCCAACAAGGGCTGCAGTATGAAGATGGAACTGAGGCACCTAGAGGTGAGAATTAGTTTTGAAAACGTGGAACCTGGTTTTCGTGAACAAGTAAAAATTCAAAATAACTTAAAATAGATGGTCATACCTGGTACTCATTTATGCTGATTCAATGCATTGTTCTTTCAAGACTATAGCTGCACGTGTTTCATTTTGATGAGTCTTTAATTGTAGGTAGGTTATTCTCAAGTGAACATCGTAGTGCATGAAAATTATACTAATGCAGCTTTCTGTTTGGTATCTTCATGTTTGTCTTTTGATCAGTTCTATCTGTACTTCACACAAGTTTCTTAAAGTTAGTTTAATATTCCCTCAAAGTAGCTACATATGTTAGTTGAAATAATCACTTTGCAAAATAATATTTGCAGTTAAAAGGATAAATATAAAACTAAATTTTTACCTGAGAGCCTTCTTAAAGCTCTGAATACGTGAAGCCCTGATCTTAGTAATGGGACAGTAATGGGCTATTAAGTCAGCATAAGAGCATAAGGATTTCTTTGCATGAAAGAAAGATTGTGATTTGTTTGTCTTGTACTGTGCTTTCTCTTGAAAACAGATGAGATGATAGTAGTATCATCCATCTTCTGTCCTTTTGCAGGAACACCAGTTACAGTGTGAATTTTCCACTGTGGAATGTCCACAGTGCCAAGGAACCTTCCAGAAGAACCACTTGAAAGAGCACATGACCCAGGAGTGTCTGAGGCGTCAAGTGTGTTGCCCAAACTGTGCCACATCTATGGCCTATGAAGATAAAGAGGTACTTAGGAGGAGTCTCAGTTTTTCAATCTTCATTCACATGGGTTTGCTTGTAAATAGAATATCAGTTTAAAAAAAAAAAGCAACAAAGTTTTTGGTCTAGAAGAGCACTATCTGCTGCTGCAGAGGTGAGAAGGTACAAACTCAGGATATTAGCCTAGAACAGGAAAAGATGGGGAGAGATTGTTCTTAAATGCAAACTTATTGGGAACCTTGTGGTCTGAGGAGACTTGTGAAAGAACCATTCATTTTTGGCCACCAGAGAGGCCTGTATCTACTGCCAGATGAATACAAAAGGCAGTATTTACATTTGCTTTACATTTTATGCCTGGGAGAAAGGATATAGCAGGAGATAAATCTTTTGGGGATCTCTGCTAACACACAAGACCACGATAATTTCTGAATTCTTTTCCTGGTTCTGCATTTTTTTACTCGTGCAATACTGAGGATAGTACTTTCCTCTTTCTGTTTCCTTTTCTTTATCTCTGTATAGATGTGTTTTATCTCAAGGACTGTTAAATTTTATGAAATTCATATTGTGAATTGTCAAAGAAAAGTACCTTGTATAGTTCAACAATAAAAAAAAAAATCTTTAATATCGTTCCACTGCAATTGAACGTGTATTTTAGAAACTTCTGGTTAAATTCAGACTTCTTCGGAGCATAAGAACTTTAGGAAATAAAATATCTTCAACTTTATGAAGCTCCTGTATAAGTCCAGGAAAAAACAGTAATACAAAACATACTGTTCAGGGTAAGGGGAGTGACTTTGTTTCACAGTTGCATACAGGTAAATGCAAAATTTGAAATGTGAATAAAAATTTGATGTTTGATCAGAGGTGATTAGGCCTCTCTTAAATTTTGTAACTTTATTGATTCTTTCTTTCCTCTCTTTTTCTACTTGATCACTAAGCTTCATGACCAAACCTGCCCACTTGCCAATGTGTTTTGTGAATATTGCAACACAGTGCTAATCAGAGAGCAGGTAAGAGACTACCACCTTCTGTGTTTAATCTCGGTCAGATGTTTTGTATTTACATTGCTTCTTTAATATGAATTTAAACTTGGAGAAACAGTTTGTCTACTAGCTAATAAATCTCTACCTGTCTCTCTGTGAAAATGTCCAGTACAGGTGTAATATTCTTTTAATATTACATTCTTCCAGCTTGTTAATATTAATATTAATATTAATATTCTTCCAGGTTGCAGTTACAGTCTGGTAAGACCTCTGTAGGATTTTTGGCTGCACATCACATTATTTAGCTGTACTGCTTCTTGACAGGGGACATGCTGCATGTTTTTTATGTTGAATGGAGGTTAAAAAATGGGCAGAGAGTGAGAGTATTTGTAATTGGAAAGCCACTGGTGGGAAGTAGTTGTAAGTAGTTCACTATGAAACTGCAGATGCTGACCGGAATTCTGCTTGTCCATTACTATTGTAATAGCCATTATTATTTCTTCTATTCAATAATAACTTCATTGACAGAAAAATGATAAATGTTATTTGATATGCAGCCTATCCTTGTTTGAATGGGATGGCAACTATGTTGAATATCATGTCAAATGATATTGAATGATCATGTCAAATTGCCCAAATACTCTGAAAAGCAGGATTGAGCTTAGTAATGACAAAGGCAAAAATGTGTTGTTAGGTAGGATAATCAACTGCAGAAATGGGGAACAGAGAATGCTGAATTTGCTAATGGTTTACGTTTAATGGCTGACCTGTATTAAACTTGTGTTCTGCTTCATCATGATATTTAAACAAGGCAAGCATACGGGGTTATATAAACAGGTATTTTGCCTGTGAAACCTAGAATTATCCTTTGCTCTGTTTAGGGCTCATAAAGTATCAGCTGAAGTTGTCATGCTTTTGAGATGGGGGTGGATAGGGTGGGTCCAGAGCAGTGAGATGGCTGGATCTGGAAACTACAAGAAAATTGAAGTAACTTGTGTGTTTTGAGGAAGAGGGTAATGAAGAGAAATACCTTGAGTATGTGCAAGCAGTTCTTCAGAAAGGAAAGAAATGGACTGTAATCTAGCTTGAGGATAGGCTAGCAGTGAAAGGTGTTTGGTCTAGCAAGGAAACTCGAATGCTTTCTGATGCCTGATGTAAGAACAAAGTCAATGAATTGTTAAAGGACATAGTAGTAGGATGTAGAATTTTTATCATCAGCTAATATTTTTGTTCAAAACTTCCATATTCCTTTGAGAAATTATGTAGGTATAAACTGATCTGACTTTAGGTACCAGTTCAGAATCCATCCGGCTGTATCCTTTTTGGATGTTATAAAAGCATACTCTTGATGAAAAAGTAATAGCAAATCTCATTTGTTTTAGATGCCTAACCATTACAACAATGATTGTCCTACTGCCCCAGTGCCATGTTTTTATAGTGCCTTTGGATGTCCTGAAAAGGTAAGCCTTTTAACAGAATCATAAGTTGCAGACCTTCTGCAGGCATTTGTCTGGGGCTTTTTTAATGCGTTTTCCTGTTCTTGTCTCAGTCACCAGCCCAAATCCTCAGTGATTTGTGGGTTTGTCTTTTTTTGTTTTGATATCAACAACTACATGTTGATACATTGTCTTTCAAAATTGGCTTTTCAAATTTAAAAACTGTGAACTATTTGCTTGATGAACTTGCTTTTATTAATCCATGACTGACTGTTTTCTCAGCTTTCACATCAATAAAGTAGCTTCCAGCATTTCTTCCGAAGTTGTGGCCAAATACACTTGTGACTCTTAGAGTTCCATGAAGAAAACCAATTTTATTAAATTCTAAAGTTATTAAACTGGATACTCTTATTTCTAGTTGTTTACTACCTCTTTGTAAAAATGGATCTTTCCCCTTCATCGTTTCCACATCAATTTTCATACACCATTTGGTACAACAGAACATTTTAGCAAATCAATGAAGGGAATACAGTACTAATTTAAAGCACAGGAAAAAGTACTAAATGTATGTTTATCACTAACAGTCTTTCACTACATCTTTGTTTTGAGTTGAACAGTGTTATTGAAAGTGTACACCATAATTAATGATGCTTTAATAGGGAAATAATTACTTCTACAAAACCTGAATCTTTTTATCATGAATGCTCATTAACAAGAAAGTAACCCTGAATATACACATAGTGCTTGCCTTTGGAATATTTATCAAGAATGTTTTCAGTATAAAATACTCCATATTTCTTCATATCTTGTTTTTACTTTCAGGTGCACAGTTTGAAATACACTGTTTCTATTTCTCATTGTATGTACTACTGAAATACCTCATGACTTTTACTCAAAATTGCCTCCATTTGAAGTGCAAGCTTAAAATGTGATTTCTGGTTACGTTTGATATGTTCCTAATGCCACATCTCTTAAATTCTAGATGCAAAGGAATGAACTGGCACGACATATGCAGGAGTTCACTCAGGTTCACATGAGAATGATGGCTCAGAGTTTTCAAAATATCAGTGTCACTGCTACAAATCCTGTACCCTTCATCAATGGCCTACCCTTTGAGCCTGCCCTCTTCTCACACGTGTCACGTGCCACATACGATTGTAATCCAGAAGTTGAAAACTTCAAAGAAACTATTCAGCAGTTGGAAGGTCGTCTGGTAAGACAAGATCACCAAATCAGGGAACTCATTGCTAAAATGGAGACTCAGAACACTCACATGGCAGAACTCAAACGTACTATCCGAAGTTTGGAGGAAAAGATCACTGAAATGGAGGCCCAGCAATGTAATGGTATTTATATCTGGAAGATTGAGAACTTCAGCGGACTTCAGAAAGCCCAGGAAGAAGAGCGACCTGTTGTGATACACAGTCCTGGCTTCTATACTGGAAAGCCTGGGTACAAGCTGTGTTTGCGCCTGCATATCCAATTACCGAATGCTCAGCGCTGTGCTAATTTTATATCTCTGTTTGTCCACACTATGCAAGGAGAATATGACAGCCATCTGCCATGGCCTTTCCAAGGCACGATACGACTTTCTATTTTGGATCAATCAGAAGGCCCAGAAAGGCAGAATCATGAAGAAGTAATGGAAGCCAAGCCAGAGTTACTGGCCTTCCAGAGACCGACAGTTCACCGCAATCCAAAAGGTTTTGGTTATGTGACTTTCATGCACCTGCAAAATTTGAAACAAAGAACCTTCATAAAGGATGATACACTTCTGGTGCGCTGTGAAGTTCTAACACGTCTAGATTTGAACAGTGTCCGCAGAGAAGGATTTCAGGCTCGCAGTACAGATGGACCTATGTAGCCTGTAAGTCTTATCCAGAGGAATGGAGCCACTAGTTGTGTTCTTCCACCACAGGTTATAAGAGTGCTTCATTGTAAATATAGGCTGCGTTTGTAAAAGATCATAGTTACCAACATAGTTGATCTTCACCTGAATGGAACTTTCTTGTTGCTGGTTTATTTTTTTCTGTATGAGGTCATGTATTTAAATATTTGGTATGGTTCTCTACAGGATTAAAGGGTGGGCTCAGTTCAGCGCACGCTGTGTCTCACCTAAAAAATCCACTGCGCAGGCTCGAAGGGTTAATGACCTTTCCCAAATCTTCACTCGCGAAGACTGGCCATTATTATTATGGTTCTCTATTAAAATAATAAGCTACTTTTGTAGCAAGCTAACTAAATGAAGTGTTGTTAACCAAAACTTAACTGCCTGAAGGAAAATCCTGTTGCAGAACCTGTACGTCTCTGGTAAAATGTAAGTCATGTTGAGAAGTCCTGTAAGTCTTTTCACCCTAGTGCCTCAGAATAGATACTGTAACAGGGAAATAGCTAAATTAATAAAGATGAGGAATTTTTTTGTTTGTTTTTTACAGAGCTTGGGAAAGTTGAGACAGTTTCTATATTGACTTATCTAGAATTTTGCGTTGGTTATGCTTTTCTTGAAATCTGAAGTCAAGACTTTGCTCACGTCACCTAGGGTTCAGGTATGCTTTGGCCCTTCCCTTCTTTGGAGTTAGCTTCAGGAAGTGGCATGTTGATGTACAGTTGATGTTAGTATTTCCAAAAGACGTGTGGTAGTGTTGTGGAGAAGGCTAAACCACTATGAGCTGAGTTCACTGAAGAAATATTTGTAATATGGTCTGAAAGTGCCTCCCTAATTCTCTTTACTTGGACAAATCTTTCTGTAAGTATGTGCTCTAGGCCCAGAGTGTCAATCACAATTGACAAGAGATATAAAAGTTTAGCATTTGAATGAAATACCTTTGTGCTGATGTACCCCCTGCTGAACATTTTTCAGCTTATGAGTGGATACATGAGCAAAGGGATGTACTAACTATATAGGGTGATGCAGGATGTGTTTTGCTGTTGTTGAAACCTGAATTTGTACCAAAGCTGAACTTGTGACCTGCTTCTATTCGACTAATCTCTTGGTGTTGTGCATGACATATGACCTATGTCACCTCCTATGAATTCTCAGTGGGCTGCTGGCCATATCAACATCCAACTGTTGTGGGTATTTCCTGTCCCTTTAAACAATAGAAGCTGGGCCACTCTCAGCAATTTGGAGAGGAAGGAAAGCCTGCTAGTTCAACAGTGTGAGGAAAAATTGCAGTCCTGTTTGCTCTTAGGAAGAAAATCTGGCTTCCATAGTTACTCATTTATCAAACACTAGATTCACTATGTCAGGGATTCATGAGCTTACTAATGTTGCGTGTATTATTATTTTCTGTACTGACTGTATGCCACATAAATGTTAGTTTTGACCAGTCAAAGCTGAGTAGTTCAATTTCACTGGTGCTAAAAGTTTTAACTTATCATGGTGCTGATGAAGTTCTGAATCTTGTCTTTAAAGGAGGGAAGAAAAAAGTTTTGTTCACCCCATAACCTAAACAGATATTCTGATACAGAAGAAAGAACTAAATGATACATGAGCATATGTATATTATTTATCCATGCTAGTGAAGCAACCTAAAGACTGCCACTTAAAAAATAGTAAAGAGTATTCCAGCTATTTGGCCTCATCAAAGCAATACCATGAGTATCATCAGTGGGGAAAGGGCATATGCTTAATACATACACATAGATACAAGAGTAAAGAAAGACTACTGTAGCATATTCATTTGGGAGGATACTCTGCCTGACTACATGAGATGTAAAAGTTCCTGGACCCAAGCTACCACATTCATCATATCCAGATGAGTAAAACTTCTTCTGGAGATAGAACCTATTAGATGAGGGATTGTGTTCAATGGAGTGTTGTCACTGCTGAAACATGAACTTCCTGGCTAATGGTAAATGCAGTTGGTCATTGACAACTTCAGTGTATTCTCTGTGATTAGGGGAGGGGTGAGCATATATTACTCAAAATAGGAAAAGATCCTTTCTTTAAAACTGTGGGCTTAAGCTTCTTAAATAGTCTTGATGATGAATAGCCTCATTCTATTAGCTTTATTGTTTCAGTGCCTTCAGTTAGAGAATGTCCAGTTAAACCATTCTTAACCAAGAGCTGTTAATGTACATAGCAGTGCACAGACCCACTGTATACAGAAGGTGCTGTACACTAGTTCTCTATTTTCAAGCTATGTTAGTTATTTTTTTCAAGATGCTCAAAAACTGCCATTCTCTCCTTTTTTCCGCCCTTCTCTTTTTTTCGAGGGGTGGGGGGCAGTCAGAAGGAACACTTGTAATTAGAGAGCTTCTTCCTGCCCCAGGTCCTTTCTCAGCCCTAGTGGTAATAATAAAAATATCTTTGCTCTGTGTTCACATTGGTTATACCCAAGACCCACTAAGTGCGTTAACCCTTCCTTTGCTTTTGAAGATTTGCGTTCTGAATGGAATTTTTACTTTGAGCCATATCTGCGAGATCGGATGTACTTTGCCTCTGAGGAGGAAACTCAGTTTGGTGGCAGAGTTTTAAGTGATTCAGGTTAATACAATAGCACAAGCCAATAGGGAATAGAAGGCTACTGCATGTATAGTACTGCATCGGCCGCAGTAATATGAATGCTTTATTCACTGCTGCTATTCTACTGGTTTTGTATTTTTATATTACCCACTAGAACTCTGAGTGATGTCAAATTACTGTAATGACAAGAGTTTTACATGAGAGACTTTCAGTGCTAATTTGCTAAGTATCAGTTAGATCTTATTGTCATAAAAACACCTTGTAAATATTAATGAAATATTTATTCATAATATTCATGTACTTGCTCCATTTTCCTCTTTCCCCTTTCTCCAAATCTCATCTTTTGAGAACTCATTTTACCATGGTAGATTGAGGTACAATTGCTAGAACTGTTTAAATGGAAGCAGAAAGGTATGCAGCATTGAGAGTTGTCTCTAAAACAAAACCAAAGAAGAATGGGAATTTAACCCATTTCCTGTGTAATTCATTCAGCAATGGAGTTCTTTAGTTCTGTAACTCCAGCATCACTGGATCTCAAGGTGATTTAAAAAGTGGCTTAGCTTCTTTTCCAAATTTCTGTTGTCTTTAATGTGTCCTGAGTCACCCACTTAATATGTGTATTTGCAAAGCTGCTATGGCACAAATTTACCGGTGATAATATATTACAAATATGTTATCTTTTTGCCTCTGAATGTCTTCACCTGCAGGGCAGGGAAAATTATTTTACTAAAAATAATATGTGTGATGTATATGTGGGAGCTCAGATAATGTGAGATGTATAGACTTGTTTTTTAAGTGGTCTCATGATATGTCTGGTCATGTTTGCTATCAATGAATTAAACTTGTTGATGAAATCAGAGATGGTGACAGAATAAATACATTTATGATGGATTTTAAAGATTATTCTGGGTTCAATGTTAAAGGTTTATATTGGTTTGTGTTTGAACAAAAGGAAAGCACTTCTATTCCCTTTGATGTATTGATCAATAATTTAATATATTTTGTAGTAGTGCACAGCAATATTTCTGACAGAACTTTAAAAAATAAACTAAGTAAACTGTGCACTGCATGTTGCATCTTTATTTGTATGGAGGGCTATTCAAAAAGTTTCACTGATACACGACCTCTGTGGTAGTTTCTCTGTCTTGTGGGTTTCAGGTTGGCTGTTTTTTAATCCAGGAGACCATGTATCATATAGCACCAAGAAGGCAACAAATATTTCAAGATAAAAACTTCTGGCATTTATAACGGGCATGGATAATTCAATACTAGAAGATATAGCTCATGTAGTTGATAATAAACTAAATGTTCTCATGATCATCCTGTAATTTAAGAAATCTGAAAAAAATTGCACACTGTCACCTCGATGGCCACATCTGCTTGCTTGTTATATTTGTGACAAAGGTAACTATGGGTTGAAGCTTTGTTGCAAGATACTCAGAGCAGAAACCAAAGGGAGTTCCTCTCTGACAAGTGCTTCATTGCGATCTGCTGATTTATCTCAACCAGAAACATTCTGGATCTGTTTTTTAACAGCATCTGCAGGAAGGGATATTCCAAACTTTCAAATTCTGAGTAACCTTAATGGTATTTATAGACATAATATCTAATGCACTGCGGTTAATGTCAAGTTAATTATGACTTTATCTTTCATCCAGGTTGGTCCTAATATCTTCCATGAATAATGGATAGGAAAGTATGGTCAGCTACCAGTTATTTGTTTCGTTAATACATTTTATTGTTTAATATTTTGAGGGCACTAAAATCTTCTTTTGATGAGATGAAGTAATAATGACGTGTTTTTAAGCAGGAAAACTAGCTGTTTGCAGATGCACCAGTGAATGGAAAGTCCACATGAAGAAACAGAAGATGCCAGCAATATGAAAGTATGTTCACACCTGTGTAAATACAAATATCTGTGTACCTGTACATTTCTGAAAAAAAAAAAAGGCTAAGCTAGATGTGGACCAGGATATTTTGACTGAATATTTTATTGGACAAATACCAGTTCATTGCAGTGACTTCACAAGAAGAATGTGTTTGTTTTACTTAAATCCTTACTAGTGCCAAACCAGTTGCTCTGCTGCCTTGCTCATCCCCAAAAAGCACTAGCCCAACACTAAAGGCTGTTCCATCTGGAAAGAGAAAACTCCCTGTGCCATTCCTTCCTATATTATCCTGGGTAAGTACATGAGTACACACAGTGCTAGACTTCAGCTGTTATATGCTGTGTTTCTCGCTTAGAAGCTGTGACTATTTAGCCTGTTCCAAATCAGCATTTACAGAAGTCCACAAAACTTAGTAAATTAGCCCTGAGTGTGCTCTTAGCATATACAATAATTACGAGGCAATAGAATGGGAGGTTAATGGGCCAAAAATGGTGAGTAGGGAATCTAGACTTGTCTGGATGAAATGAGTAAGATGGCTGATGAATTCTGCCTGTTAGTCATCCTTGATTAAAAAAAAAAGCCAAAGAAACCCAAACCCACACTCATGCCACTCAGATAGGAAATTGTTATGCTGGCAAAAAAAAATTATCAAAGGAAACACTTCAGTGTCACAACTGTCTCACCCTCACCATTTGCCCACCACTGG